GGTCAGATAAAACCTTCCATGGCTATAACGCCGTACCGCTGTGCCGGTCGGAGTGGGGGGGGGGGGGGGTGTTAGGTTTTTTTCGTTACGGTGTTACGAAATTTCTTGATTCGGTCGCCACTCAAAGCCAGCGATAAAAGCTATGCAATAGCTTAAAATTTTGCAGTGCATAAAAAATTGCAAAAGTTATAAACGATTAAACACCTCAAAAACATGGTGTTTGGTTTTTCGCCTATAGTTTGTAAACTATAAATATTTTTGGATTTTTCAAAAAAGATCCTTAAAGAGGAGGAAATTTGCTATAAATAAGTTCCGACTCCCGGAACTGTACCTCCATTATTTATAATTTTAATTTAACGCTCAAAGTAGCCTTCCGCGCGCCATTTTTAGGTTGCGCGCACGTCGTCGAAACCGAGTACGTTACATAAAATAATTTTTTTAAGTTAATAAAATTAAATTCAAAAATTTAAAAAATTTGTAAAAAAAAAATTTGAAAAAATTGAAATACTCCATTTTTTTATAAAAAATTTATAAACAAATGGAGGAAAAAAATTTTTTTTTAATTAATAATTGTCTTTTCTTTAATTCTATTAGAGACTGGAATTGAGATCCTATTTCTTACTAATGAATCCTAATACGGACCAAACCGGTCCAAGAATGACGTTATTTTTAGTAAGAAAAATCAAAGGTAGAGTGTTGAAATTAAATTTCTACCTCTACTGTGTTTTCTTTGGATATAATTCAATAGCTGTAGCGGTATTAGCCAAAGAAATAGTTGTTCTTTAAAGGAAAACAGTCGCTCGTATTTTCTGTGTCATATGGCTTTGTTCTACTTACTTTATTATACGTTTTGGTCAGATGTAAGTTTAAATTATTTTTCTTTTTTAAAATTGCCAGCCTGTCCTTTTTAGTTTCACCTAGTTTTCAAACTAGGTACTATAAGCGACCTTTGATTTTGCTTACTACGAAGAGTTGGCTTTACCACTTTCACTAATTCAATACTTATTCTCTTCGTAATCAAAGTTATTGTATAATAATGAATTTAGTGCCTTTATTATTTTCATTAGAGAATGGACTTGAGAACCTATCTATTTCTTGATGATGATTTCTAATATTGACGAAACTGGTCCAAAAATGACGTTCTCCTTAGTAAGCAAAATCGTAAGGTAACGTTTTGAAATTAAATTTATATATCTCTGTCGTCTTTCCGTTGGATATAATTTAATATCTGATGCGGTATTAGCTAAAGGAGTAGTTGTTTTTCGAAGAGAAACGGTCGCCCATATTTTTAAAATATTCTAAAAATTTAAAAAATTGTATATTTAGCATTTTCTTTTTTACAGTGGTACTTACTTAAGATCCTTTAATATTTCAAAAAAGTATTCCCATAATTTCACTATTTAAAAAATTAATAAAAGCTGAAATCTTCTAATTTATTTTATAACACAACAGCAAACTTACTCTAAACAGAGTATTGACTTTGTGAAGATATAACGCTAAATGGTTAATTGGAAAATTTAAAAAATTCAGAAAATGGAAACTAATATTAGACAGCAATCATAAACAGACATACCTGTGAAATATTTTTGATGTTTATTTTTACTTAAATTAACAAATTTTTGCAAGTGGTAACGAAGATTGCATAACTTATTCAGACCCTCAAAAATTAAAAAGATATTGTCTCTGTATAATCTAGTAAAAAAAAATTTCTAAAAAAGTTGGTTATCTATACGCTTTTTTATTAAGCACGCGTTGTTTTTAAGTGAGGTAGTGCGGTGGAAAGTAGACACAGTAGAGAAAAATCTAATCAAAAACTCAATTTTATAGGTTAAATGCACAAAAACATTCACTTTATATGGACAAATTATGTCTTGAAACGTTTAAAAGTTTCAAGATTATTTATAATTTATAAAATATGTGATTATAACAATTGAAGTGATCCAAAACCATTTTTGTTTTTGTTTGTTTGTTTGTTCGTTTCTTTGTTTGTTTGTAACTATAAAAATATAAGAATTGCTAAAAAAAATTGAAAGTCTTTGTCATTGATTTTACTCGGATTCTCACAGCAATTTTAGGGACATCACTAAATAATTATTAAAACCAGACGTAAAAATCCGAGTGGATATCTTTCATAATTTGACGTGTCGTATACATTGTAAAAAATGTCTTACAAGCAATAAATTTTATATATTTTCTAGTCATTAGAATTATACAGGGATTTCATTCAAAACTAGCCACCAGCCACCCAAAATAACTTTTAAAATATCTTTAAACAAAAAACAAAGAAACATGTTAATTTATATTTACGGGGGGGACACATTTTACAAGTATCTGTAACCGTGCAGTTTCATCCCCTAAGCGGTGGTGAATATCAATTCTAAAATTTTAAATAGACAGGGGTATCATGTGATAGCTCTTCTTAAAGGTCTCTTTTTTTCCAATCTTTTGACACATTTTTTTTTTTTAAATCGGATTAATTTTTCACCAAGTTATGCCATTTTAACTTTTTAAATTGAAATAATTATTATTTACATTATATTTACATTAGGGGGCGTCCATTAATTACGTGAGGTATTTTTGAGGATTTTTTGACCCCCTCTCCCCCCTGGTGAGATTTTGTAAGATTTTCCTCAACTCCCTCCCCCCTCCCCTAATCTCTCGTGAGATTTTTCAAAATTTGTGTTTTGGGTGTAAATGCGTTGGATTATTAAAAAAACAAACAATATGTTTTATTACTTTTATTTAAGACTAAAAATTTCTAGAAATATTCTTTACTTTAATTTAATTTTCACGCAATTTTACACCGTTTTCTACTAGAAAAAAAATACGTCAGATTTACAAAGACCCCCCTCTCCCCCAAGTGAGATTTGGAAAGATTTAGCTTGATCCCCTTCCCCCTTGAACACCTCACGTAATTAATGGATGCCCCCTTATTAATATTTTATTTGCGTAAGAATTACATTGTACTTAAGATGTTCAAAATGTCCGCCATTGTTGGCAAGGCAATGGTAAAGTCGCAGCTCTAATTCATCCCGCACTTTTTGAAGCGTCTCTGGTATAATCCGCTTACACTCCTCCACTATTCTACGTCTAAGTTCAGGAATATCGCGAGGGTTGAGTTTTATACACCACAGTTTTTAGATGTCCCCATAAAAAAAAGTCAAGGGGCGTTAGGTCGGGTGATCTCGCTGGCCATTATATAGTGCCCCTTCTTCCGATCCATTTATCTGGAAATGTCTCATTAAGCCAATTTCGTACAGGCAAGGCATAATGTGGAGGTGCTCCATCCTGTTGAAAAAATAGGTTTTCTTCGTCTAGTAACAAATTTCCATCTTGATCTATTTGGTTTTCTAAGGATTCGGTTATAAGAGGATTTATCAAATTTTCTAATAAGTTCAAATACAATTCCCCAGTTAAATTTTCCTCCATGAAAATAGGACCAATAATTTTATTACCAAGAATTCCGGCCCATACGTTGATTTTCTGAGGATATTGGCTGTGCTCTTCCCGAAAAACATGTGGATTTGTATTGTCCCAGTACCTACAATTATGTTTATTGACAAATCCATTTAAAAAGAAACCTGACTCGTCAGTAAAACAAATATTTTTAATAAAATTATGGTCTTCATTTGCCCTTTGAGTCATTAATTCGCAAAATTCTAATCTGTCATAATCATCCTCAGCAAGCTGTTGTAAAAGCTGTATTTTGTAAGGAAAGAATTTATTTAGCCGTAACGTTTTATGCACAGAGCCAACGGAAATATTTGTTAATCTGGAGACTTTTGGTATTGATGTTTGAGGTTCCATGGCAAAATGACCTAAAATCTCAACTTGTGCAGCTTCAGTTAAAACTCTTCGATTCCTTACAGTTTTATTGCACACACTTCCAGTTTCTTGAAATTTATGAACTAAATCCAACACATACTGATGCCCAACATTTTTTTGGGATGTCTCTGATTAAAAACACGAGCAGTTCTGCGTGCACAGCGTTGTTCTTCACCATAAAAAAAGATTATTTCAATTCTTTCTTGTAACGAATAAACCATTGTCAAAATTAAATTGTCAGTACACAACGAAACCAATAATCTACTAATAATAAATTGTTTTAATTTACGGTCAAAAATATCTTACGCAAAAAACATTTAAGGCTTTTTGCTAACTTGTTTATCTCGGTATTTATACTCATGCATTTTAATTCAATATTTTTAATTTTTTCCGGTTTCTAGGTTATAACTTGGTGAAAAATTAATCCGATTTAAAAAAATAATGTGTCAAAAGATTGGAAAAAAGATACCTTTAAGAAGAGCTATCACATGATACCCCTTTCTATTTAAAATTTTAGAAGTGATATTCACCACCGCTTAGGGGATGAAACTGCACGGTTACAGATACTTGTAAAATGTGTCCCCCCGTAAATATAAATTAACGTGTTTTTTGTTTTGAAATGAAATCCCTGTATAGAAAAAATTGTAGTTCTGAAGTGATTCAATAGTTACAACCCTTAGGTTCAGTTTTAGGCTCTAACGCACGATTAACAATAAAGTGTATTAGATTTTACTCTTAGTAGATAACTAATTATCGCCGGACTTTGATTTGGGCATTTAAGTGAAGATGGTATGACGGTTCACACCTTATATAATTTGTAACAAACTTTCATGTATGGTTCGAATAGTCAAATAATAGTAGATTAGAGATTCTACTCGAGTTTACTACTTTTTAGATGATGATCCCCAAATAGGCTGAAACAGGTGGTGGAATGTAGGCTCCTTAAACTCCAAATTAAAGGGTTCGTTGTATCGATAAAGGCAGTCGCGAACTCGTTTTATAACACCGTAATCCAACGTCCTGCATATAGCCCTGGAAGTAGTTGTTTATGGAGAGATTATGGAGGTATGGCACTCGCCATTTATTTTTTATTAAAGTAGTAGCAAAATCTAATTAAAAAATGAATAAGTAATAAACGTAGGTATATTAAAAGAAGGAAGTTAGTTTAGACTTACCTAAATAATATCATATCTACTAATTGCTTTTTGTCCAGGCCATGTTTCTTGCAACAATTTACAGCACCAGATACCATACTTTTTATTAAAAAAATCACCAAAATAGCTATTACACAACTACATGCGTACATTATCTGTTTAAAAGAAAAACATGCAAAAAACGTCAACTTATTATGGAAAAGTATTGTTTTTTACTCACTCACTATCACAAATTGAAAATCTATTGGCATTTATAGGAGTTTTAAACTTTAGAATTCTAGTAGCAGTAGTAGGTATAGTACTAGGTACTGAGAGGTAGCGCTAGGTACTTGTAGGTGTTTTTATGGGGTACTAGAATGATTGTGTTAAAATAGAGATTGAACACTTTTATCTATTTCGTGACATGATTTAGATAGTTTTAACATTTATAAAATTCAAGAAAGAGAATTATTATTTGTGTTATCCACACCCATTATGTATGGGGAATAAACATATTTTTCTACATTTCTCAATTTTAAATAAGTGGCAATATTGTCAAAATAATTGTACGTATATTTTTAGTTAATGAGATTAAAATTAAAAATGAGTGATTCTTATGAAGAATCGATAAATAAATAGATATTCATCTATATTTACAAAAAAAAAAAATGCATAAGTTTTAATAAAACTGTAAAAATAATTTAATGCTTTTATAATACTTAGAGTACCTATAAATAGCCTACAAATGTAGTTTAAAAAACTTTCAATAAATAAAAATTAGCAATTTTTTTCGAAAAGTTTGAAATGTTAATAGTCCAAAATAGCTTAAAAATATGGTGTAGTTTATTTTTAGAAAAAAACTTAAAAAACCGAGGTCCTTTGCTGGCTTTGTTTGAAGCTAGGAGATTACCTTTATTTTTGTAAAAAACAAGGAGCAATACATTTTTTATTAGGGTATAAAAATATGGCATAGGTTTCAACTCAAAATTCCCTAAGTGTTCTGCTGTCTTCTTTGACAAAAAAATAGGTGAACTAATTCCGACAAAGACGGGGTTTGAAATTTTTCTACACCCACATGAATGTTAGCTTATATACGAACAGACTACAAAAAGCAAAAGTATGCTATTGGGTTCAACTGAACGAATATGTCATATTCATTCTAGGTAGTGAGAACACTGCAAAAAAATTAATCTACCGCTCGCAGTTCATATTTTTGATACCCAACTATTATTATTTTTACAATTTTAAATAGGTGACAATTCTGTCAAAATAATTGTCAGTATATTTTTTAGTTATTGATATAATTAGGTTTGTTCCAACAACAATATTGGGACCATACATAAAACCAGTTCACAACTTATTGTCGGCGACTGATAGTCGACGACCTGTCCACGACCTGTCGAGGATTGGGACGCGATTCGGAACTTGGATGAGTTAGAACACATTTTTGTGTTATCAGACACACTCTGTTAATAACGTCAGTCAACGCAAATTTAACAAATGTAAAATTTTGAATTTGGGAAATAAAAAAATTATAAAACTCACTAAAATATTTATATATTTTGATTATTCGATTGGTTAGTACTTTAAACTTTATTTATTTTAGTTTTGTACTACATTTAAGTCAGAAATCAGAATATTAGTTCTTTTCAATTTCTTCACTCCAAAACTCATTATTAATAATTCAACAAATACACGTATACAATAATAGACTATAATTAATGATAATGAATGAAAACTAAATTACGATCTATAGAAGTAATATAGTCCTTGAATCAAGACTACGATCGATGCTATCAAAACAAAATACAATTAATAAATTTCCAGAGTTGGTCGTGGTTTATTCACTTTCGTTTTGCGTATGTCTTGACAATTCGTTTATATTCAGATCCAGGAACTGATTTGACAGTACAGAAATTGGTTTGTTTTTAGGTTTGGGTGTGTTGGAACACTAGGTTTTAGTACAGTTTTGGGTCCGAAATTTGTTGGAACATCAAATCTAACTGCGCAGAATCCTGACAGTACGTAAACCGATTTGTTATTGTGTTGGAACAAACCTAAAATATACATTAAAATGAGTTATTTTTGTGTAGAATTGATGAATAATAGCATTTTCATTTTTATTTGGTCCATTATTGTAACGTAAAGATAGCATATGAGTACTCTAATGAAGATTACCTAAATTTAACAATAATTTATGGTAAATGTAATAAAGTTGGGCAAATAATTTTTTAAGCTGTAAGATTTCCAGACAAACCCTGTCCGTCAATTTTTAAACAATAATATTGCGATAATTTTTCGTATCGATGATTACCTAATCGGGTCCCGTTTCTTTGACCACCAAGATCTTCTGACCTCATATGAGATTCTTAACGTACTTACTTTCACTTAAATTGACTTAGTAAATTTGTCCATTAGGGACCTTATGCTCCCAAGTATAGCCCTTAAACTCTTGATATTCCATACCTACATATCTCTATACCGATAAAGTTTTGGAGTTTTTCTAGGCTTACCCAATTTCTAAGGAATATCGTCTGAGCAATTTCTTTCTTTTTCTTACTTTTTTATTAATATATATGATGTGTTGCTTGTAGAATAGTTTCTAATCAAAGATGATACCCTGGTATTTCAGTTTCGGATTTATATTGTGTGGGAGATTCGAAAATATAATCTATTTTGTCTTGTTTTTGGAAATTTTAAGTTTATTTTGCAATATCCATTCAGTGAGTGACCTCACACGTCTCGATTTCTTTATATAGGGGCTATATTAAAGGAAAGGTATATCAAAGTCCTTTAACCACTAAGAAAATTGTCAAGAAGTCGCCCGCCAAAGCATTCCATTCGATACTTTCCAATCAATTACTAGAGACTGATGTACAACTCGAGGGGCTTTCCACTTCGGCAATAGGTGTACAAATTTTTCGGAAATGTTAGGAAATACTTTAGGCAATGTTGGAATTGTTTCGGCAATACCGGAAATGTTTCGGCAATACCGGTAATGTTTCGGCAATGCCGGCATTGTTTCGGTAATACTGGCATTGTTTCGGAAATGCACGGCATTGTTTCGAAAATGGACGGCATTTTTTCGGTCATGCAAGTCAATAGCCGAGAATAACGATCAAGGAGAAGCGACAGTAGCTGTCGGTGCCTTTGATATCGGATGTACCTTTTTCACAGCATGACTTTGATTGATACACAACTTAGCACGCTGAGAAAAAATGCATAGTTTGGCAAATTATCTGAAATCATTGTTATAGTCCATGCGCAAATGTTGTAATGTGATTTAATTACATTGAAGTAGTTAGGGTTAATAGCAATGGTGAAATTTCGGCACCAAAATATAATTCATTATGTAATAATTAATTATTTGTTATAAAAGTAAAAGACGTTCATTATTTTATAATTTATCTATAAAATTTGTTCAATATTTGGTTTATTTATTGTTAAAAATGTAATAAAAGCCCCATTTTTAAATTAAATTACCTTTTCCATAAGTAAAAATAAGGTAAATAAAATTAAGGGTGTCAAAAAAAATTTAGGTAACAATTAAAAAGACATTAAGTTTGAGAGATTTAACTAAATATTTGCAATGTGCTTATATTTTCAAAACTTTTAGGTTTAAAAAGTATTTACATATTTTTAGAATTTCTGGATTTATATTATATTAAAAGGACTTTCAAGTTTATCACTCATTTCTGTATAAACAAGTGTTTTCTCGCCACGTTAAGCCAGATGTCATTTAAGGTTTATGTATTTAGAGTTAAATACCTGGCCTGGCTATCACCCAGACAATACAAATATGTCCATTGGACGTCCATTCGATATACAATTTTGGATGTCTAGACGTCCAAAAATGAGTTTTTTCTGGACTTCCGATATCCAATGGACGTCCAGTGAAGTATACAAATGGCACACTTTTGACCATTCAGAGGACGTTCAATTCTGGAATATATTTGGACGTCGAATACTGGACATTCAAAAAACGTCCAGGATTATATTTCCATTGAGACCACATCCCCACTTTTTTTACAGAACCGCAACTTACCACACACTATTTTATATTATTAATAATTTGTTTATTATTTTCGCAAACCGCTATACACCATTTATTTTTTTTTTATTAAGAATTGCTTGATCTGAGCACGAATCGAACTCACGACACATCCATTATCGTTTTACGCTTTCAATTGCTAGACGAGCTCGACCAAGGAACCACTTGAAAACTTTTTACTAGATACAGTTATAATTGAATAAGATTTCAAACTTTCGCTGATAGAATGAAATGCAATAGATTCAATTTGTCAATTTTTAATGACCAGTTATATTAAAAAAAGAAATATATATTATAGATGAGTATTATCTGGTAGGCTTAATAAATAATGACCTAAGATGGACGTCCACTGGACGGCGTCAAAATACTATTAAACTTAAAATTAAGTCCAAAAACAGACGTTCTCTGGGTATCGATATTCAGCTGTCAATTTAATTAGCATAAACGGACGTACACTGGATGCCCGGATATGAACGTCCTGACCCTCAAATAGATCTAAGTGGACGTACATTGGACTATGTGTGCTGTCTGGGCATAGACGAATTTTTTGAAATAGTACTTATTTAAGTACAACTACTATCATCCGGAAGATATAGTTTATTTGAAAATGATTGATAGCAAAATTTGTATGACCCAAAGATAAACCTCAATATAAATCATAAATCAGTGACAGAGAATTTATAAATTCCAAAATAAAATCTTTGGTTTTCTTAATAAAATTTTTAAAAATACCAATTTATTTTAATTCTTAAATTTTCTAGTCATTTTAATCAACAACAATAAGGTAAGCATGTAATCTCTATAGGTAGAAAATATTTACAATTCAAGATCAATTTAAGTAGCACTCAAATTTCTTAGAGAGGGTTAAAATTTCTAATCGGCAGAAAGTGTAATTGTAACAGGCAGAATTGTTAGTTCTGTAATAATAGGCGATAAAAAGCGATATTGATCAAATGAATTTGTGCAATAAAAATGACACAAACGTATTATACTCCTGTGAAATTAAAGTGCAATTTAACCATGCATATGAAAACTTTAGTGTCAAATATACATGAGTTGGAGAAGCAACCATTTATAGACTTGAAGCAAAGAAAGAATAGAAGCATTACAGTAGCACCTTAAACGTCAACTGGGAGAAAACTCATTCAAATAGACGGTACTATGAAACAACTGATCCAAAGAAAAGTGCATTCGTTTTATTTACAAAAAAAGATACCTACTTTGGATAAACTTTTAGTAGACATTAATAAAGATGAAACTTTGCCAAACGTTAAAAGAGACAAATT